CAATAAAAACAAAAACAACAACAAATGTTAAGTGGCTCTGGGGGATCCGGTTATCAGCTGGAACAGAGGCGCAAATAAACATTATATGAGCCTATGATATATTATGGAAGCAGATAAGGCAGGTGTTTTGCGAGCTTCTCTTAGCAAATAAAGCGTCTGGCGCCAGGATTTACTTCCAGGTGCCAGCCCATCTTGTGCATGCTGGGGTAAATAACTTTTGACTTTTAGCATTCTCATTCTCTCAAGAAAGAAGGGTTTTCTGTTCATTTTTTAAACCTGTATGATTCCGGAAGAAAAGTTATTGGCTAGCTTGCTAGGGATGACTGTAACTCATAATAATATTATATGTTCAGACATTCCTAACAGACGATATCATTATTGTTACTATTTTACTTGTACTTGTGATATGAAGTTGAGTTCCAAGAGACGAACATTACGTTAAGTAAATATTTGTCGTTTAATGCTTGGAAACGGGAACGGCAAGACGGCAGGCATACAGGGGATGTCCCAGTTGTTTGTAAAGTACATGTACATCATGAACGTGTATACGTATGCTCACCATATCTAATCTGGGTGGTTAGAAGGCACCAATGGAAGGTTCCTCTTATTCTTATTCCCCCATTTTATCTGTCCGTCTTGCCTTGTCCATGCACGAAATGGCCGAAACTGTGTTTGCTTTTCGCTGCGCAAACTCTTATAATAAAAGATACATATTACCTGTAGGCCTATGTATTGTGTGTTATTCCACCATGAGAGGAGTTTGACCGCCTGATTTTGTGCTGTGAATCTCTCTCCACCCCTTTAAATAAATAAATAAATTAAAAAAAATATATAAAAAAATAAAATAAAATAGACAAGGTAAGATAAAACGAAATGAAATGAAATGAAATAAAATGAAATATAATACAAAATCGACCAAGTACATATAGTGGACAAATGAACTTCATCATCAGCACTGCCTCACTCACCCTAGATCATGGTTTAGGTCACGAACAAACACTTTTCTTCTTTCCCTATCGTGGACTAGCCTCTTTATATTACTCATTGTCTTCACATTTTCGGTACGTAATTCTCTGCGACCCCTTTCCAGGTTCTGTGTGGCCTTCCCCTTGATCTTTTACCCTGTGGATCCAATCCAACACTTTCTTTGTTATGCAGCTACCTGGCTTCCTTAGAGTATGGCCAGTCCATCGACACTGTCTTCTTCCCACTTCATGCATACACCAAAATTATTAGGTCCTGTATAACACCAGAGCTATACCATTACCATACATGTATATCCCTGACAGAAAGAAAAAAAAATAACTCGCCCAATGAAGCGTGGAGTATTGTGTGACAAGTGATTATTGTGACGCCGGTAGTCTGGTGGCAATTCCACTAGATTCGTAACCGTGTGGTAGAGGGTTCGGGAGTACGAGCCTCAAGTCCGACCTTGTTTTCTTGGGAAAAGCACTTCACACGAACTTTCCTCTCTTCACCCAGGTGTGATTGGATACCTGGCCACAGAGAGCGAAAGATGGAGAACATGGCTACGCCATACAAATGCTATCTTTTATTCATTATTACCCAGTATCTTGGG